TAACGTTTTTTCTATTTTCTCGCCGACAACGATTATAATTACACACCATTCCCTCGTCGACTCCTCGTCACGCAAATCTTATTTTTGATTTTCTTAATTTGGACTCTTTCAAGACATTAAGATTCGGAACAACGAGAGTGTTTCTAAAGTAAGTATTAAATCAGACAATATTTGAATCATGTTGAAAACGCATTTCAAAGTGGAATCCATCTTGATACAGTTACTAATTAATGCAAATCGAACTTCCATTTTTTTCGGTTATTAGCTAGTTTTCGGTACATGCAAACGCGATTTAATAAGCGAAGTAAAAACGCGATTTTACAAACGCGTGAAGACATTTGATCCTAGCGATCGAAAGAGACCGAACCATCTAAGGTCAACACTTGTCACTCGATCAGAAAGTCTTTAAAACATTGCTTCTCAACTCAAATCTCTTTCACTAATCTCCATCGCTGTCGCCACGTCACCATTTCCCGCCTTATAACTAGTCAAACAGAGAGACAGCAATCATATCACAAAATCTCAAAAAAAAAAATAAAAAAAGTGTCCTCAGAAAATTCAGTGTTTTCTATTCATCATTCGCCACCTCTCTTCTCTCTGCAAACTTCTCGAACCCACTCTCTGTAATAACAAGAACAACGTAAAGACAAAAAGAAACAATCAAAGAGTAGAACTCGTGTTTTCTTGGAGTTTGTCCTAGAAAAGAAAATGGACGTGAATAACAAGGATAAGGAGAAGAAGATCGAGTTTACATTCGAAGACGATGAAGATCTTGAAGATACCAGTAAATACGAGAACGACAGCGACAACACTGATGTAAGCGACCTCGGAGATCTCCCTGGCGACGACGACAACAACAACGATGATACTTTCGTCTCCCAGGTTCAATGGCCTCAGAGCTTTAGGTAAAAAATCTCTAATCCTTTCACTCATCTCATCTTATAAAGATCTGACTGGTTATTCTTGGTTTCTTCTTCTCAGGGAAACGACTGATTCTTACACCATTGCTGCATCACCAATCTTCGGGTCTCTCTTGAGTAACCCGAGTTTCTACACTCCGAGTTTCTACAGACAGAGCAAAAGTAATCTTGATGTTGAGTCTAAAACTCCTTTGCTCCCTGAGAGAAACGAAGAATCTGATAAAACCTCAGTTACACAATCAGTTTGGTCTCATAAAGGCTCATTTGCTGAAGAGTTGCCCATTGGTGGCTATGGCTGCAGCTTCACTCAAACCATTTTCAATGGTAAACTAATATATAAAAATCATGGATTATGATAAGAACATGTCCTCCTATTTTGAGGGCTATAGATAATTTAGTAAGACTTTATATAATTTTTTTTCCTTACAAATTAGGGGTTTATAGGCTAATGGTTCCGGTTCTGAGATTTTTGGGGACTATAGATGATTTAGTACGAATTTATATAATTTTTTAAAACAAATTTAGGGATTTGTATATATAGAATTTTTTTTTCTAAAAATTTGTAGGTTATATAGGCCAATGTTTCAGTAGCTTAGACTCCTGGTTATGGATTTGTGAGTCTTGGTTTTAGTTTTAAAAACTCTGTTTTGGTTTACAGCGATTAATGTAATGGCTGGAGTTGGATTACTCTCAACACCTTTTACAGTGAGAGAAGCTGGTTGGGCAAGTATGGTGATTCTTCTCTTGTTTGCTGTTATATGTTGTTACACTGCTACTTTAATGAAAGATTGTTTCGAGCACAAAAACGGCATTATCACTTATCCTGACATTGGAGAAGCAGCTTTTGGCAAGACCGGTCGTATTCTTATCTGTGTAAGTCACTTTCCTAGCTTCCATCATAGATTTTTCAGTTTTTTCTGTAGCTTTACATGATTACATCTTAATGTGTTGTGTCTTTTCTTGCAGGTGCTATTGTACACAGAACTATATGTAAGTGAAATGATCTTGGAAAGCTTTTGTTTCTGTCTGAATAATCTGAACTTTAACTATAATCTTTGTCTATTTTTTTTCTGTAGTCATATTGTGTTGAGTTCATTATCTTGGAAGGTGATAACCTTACTGGTCTTTTCCCTGGTACATCCATTGATTGGCTTGGGATAAGGATCGATTCCAAACATTTATTTGGAATCTTGACTGCTCTCATTGTTCTTCCAACTGTTTGGTTGAGGGATCTTCGCATCATTTCTTACCTATCAGGTCCATTAAACTTCTTTTTGTTTTATGTATATTCTTGATTACTTTAGTCAAGAGTCTTGAGTCAGCTTTTTTTTTGTGATTCTACAGCTGGTGGAGTTATTGCAACTGTTTTGATAGCAGTCAGCACTTTCTTCCTTGGTACAACGGGTGGGATTGGGTTTAATCACACTGGTCATGCTGTGAAATGGAATGGGATACCCTTTGCTATTGGTATCTATGGATTTTGCTATTCAGGCCATTCTGTGTTTCCAAATATATATCAATCCATGGCTGATAAAACCAAGTTCAACAAGGCAGTGATCACAACGTAAACCAAATAGACTCTCAACTCTTATATAAGCTTCTTGATGTTTTGATCCAGTTCTTGAATCAAATGAGGTTTTTGTTGTTGTTGTGTGTGGATACATTACAGGTTTATTTTATGTGTTTTGCTATATGGAGGAGTTGCATTCATGGGTTATCGCATGTTTGGTGAAGCAACCTTGTCTCAGATTACACTCAACATGCCAAAGGGATTGTTTTTCTCCAAAGTAGCTCAATGGACAACGGTTAGTTTTTTTAAATCTTTATCATCTTTTAAAAAATTCCATTTCATTACTAAAACTCCATCTTGGTTCTGTTTTGTCATAAGGTTGTGAGTCCGTTTACAAAATACGCTCTCTTGATGAATCCACTTGCAAGGAGTATAGAAGAGCTATTACCTGAGAGAATCTCAGAGAACATATGGTGTTTTCTTCTTCTAAGAACAGCACTCGTTGCTTCTTCTGTTTGTTCTGCTTTCCTTATCCCATTTTTTGGTAAGAACGTTTAAGCGTGTGAAGGTATCTGTTTGCTGCTTAATGGTTTCAAGACTCATTAATTTTTTTTTTGGGTGAAAATTTGGACTGTTAGGTCTTGTGATGGCTCTGATAGGATCTCTTCTCAGTATACTTGTGGCTATAGTAATGCCAGCTCTATGCTTCATAAGGATAATGGGTAACAAAGCTACAAGAACACAGGTATATTCATATTGAGGTTTATTTGGAGTCTTAGATTAACTCTTGACGTTTATTGTATTGTGTTATGTGATACAGATGATTCTGAGTTCAATAATAGTGGCGATTGGGTTGGTTAGTGGGACCTTGGGGACATACTCTTCGGTTGCAAAGATCATTAGGAACTATTAAGTTGAAGAAGCCCATCATATAGTCTCTCCTTTTCTTTGAGTTTAATGTTTGATGCTAGTAAAATCTTGATTAAGATTAATTTGGATTTTTCAAGTAATAAAATTAGCTTTTGTATCTGATTTCTGTATAACTTCTTTATTTTTATGAGTATCGTTCTCAGATTATACTTAATACACAAAAACACACGTAAAGCGTGAGCCACCTAAAAATAGCTCCACTAGAATTGCATGTGTGGATAACCAAAAAAAGAAAAGAAAAACCAAATCTCTAACAACTCTGTTCTCTCTTCTCCCCTTCATCTTCTTGTGATCAATGGAGAACAACAACTACATCAATTTCTTCTTAAACACAAATTGTGGGTTACTCATAGGTTCTTGTTTTGCAAGATACGTTATCCTCCGTCCTAATGGTACAACAAGAAAATTACCATGGAGAAGAGAAACAAAAAGAAGGAAGAAGGATGAAATCAAAGTGTCACTACTCCTGGATTTGCACGACTCAACGTTAGACTGCATCTTAGAGAAGCTCTCTGCATCTGAGCTATGTGCAATGGCTTGTGTTTGCTCTGAGCTAAGGGATAAATGCGTGAGAGATCATCTCTGGGAGAAGCAAACGAAGAAGAAATGGGGGAGACTAATGGGTGCTGCAGCGATTCAAGAATGGAAATCTCATGTCTCCGCCATGTTAATGGGACGTCCCAGTTGCGGCAAGAGACGTCGTTCATCATATCTACTACAGTAGCTATTGATTCAATGATGTACTGGTACTCAAATCTTGAGAGTGGCAAGTTCTGGTTTCGTGTTCAGGTCAAAGAGCGCACTGTAATGATCGGACCCACCCACGAGTAAATGAAATTCTTTTTTTTTTTGGGTCTGCTGCAACAGCTGCTTGTTGTACACGGGATGTGTTATTACGATGCGGAAGTCAGATACGATTCCAAGACTGACACATTTCAAGCAAGGTAAATAAATTGTTCCGAAGATTGGTTTGTAATTGGCGCCTAGTCACTAAACCAATACAAAAACGATTTTATCAAACCCATTATTTTAAAATTTTGTTTAAACATAAATTATTTTTTCTCATTTTGTTTGTTTGTTAATATATTTTTTCTTTTGGTAGAAACAGCTCGTGGTGAGATAGTAGTTAAAATGTGAGAGAATATCCATTAAAATTGGTTGTAATTGGCCTATAGTCAGTAAACCAATATAAAAGCGATTTTATCAAACTCATTATTTTAAAGATCTGTTTAAACATTAATCATTTCTCTCATTTTTTTTGTTTGTCAATATATTTCTCTTTTTGGTAGAAACTGCTCGTGGTGAGATAGTGGTTAAAATGTGACAGCATATCCATTAAAATTGGTTGTAATTGGCCTCTAGTCAGTAAACCAATACAAAAAACGATTTTATCAAACCCATTATTTTAAAAATATGTTTAAACATTAATCATTTCTCTCATTTTGTTTGTTTGTCAATATATTTCTCTTTTTGGTAGAAGCTGCTCGTGGGGAGATAGTGCTTAAAATGTGAGAGAATATCCATTAAGATTGGTTGTAATTGGCCTCTAGTTAGTAAACCAATACAAAAAACGATTTTATCAAATTCATTATTTAGAAATCTGTTTAAACATTAATCATTTCTCTCATTTTGTTTATTTGTCAATGGGGTGATTGGTTGGGTTTTAACTGCTGATTTTAGCTTTAAATTTATTTACAACACTTAAATCATCAATCATGCTTTATCTTATTTTTTAAAGCTACAGCTAAAAACTAAAAAAATGGTTGTAAAATCCTTATTTCTTAAAGCCACATTTTTTTCTGTAAAAAATATGTTGCTGTAGCAATAAAAAATATTATATAATACGTGTTTTAATCAAATAGATTGTTTCAAACTTTCTACATTATACATGTTTTTCAAACATGTGTTTGTTTCTTTTTCTATATTTTATTGTTTGTTAGATTAGTATTTCATTTCTAGATAAAGTAATATAAATAGAGCTTGATTAAATTTTAGTATACTTTAATTTGCAAAAATAATATAAACTTCGAAGAAATTTTTGCTAAAAACTAAACTTATACCTTCATAAATTAATATTATAAAGAATTTTATTAAAAAGAATTTATTAAACAGTTTTTTAAACAATATAATTTTTAAAATTTACATCGAAATAAATTTATCTAGTATATATAACGTGTAAATTTTGTTAGGGTATATAAATATTTCATATTACAAAACAGTGTTTTTGTTAATATATTGTGGATGCATTTAACTATTATTGACATATTTCATTATAAATAATAAAAGATTCCTAAACTTATATCTATTGATATATTTTGTGTAACTAAATTGGAAGGTGTGGGGTAGTTTTCCCAAACTAAATTGTTAAGCGTATCTTTTTATTATAGATATGATTTTCATAAGATATAATAATGATAAGATTATTAGAGAGTTAAACTTTCTAGTAATAGTCCATTTTTCTAAAAATCACACATGAATTGAAGTTATGACTTCTGTTTTAATATATAAGATACAATATAATTTCTATAAATTAATAATATTGAGATTTTGATTTTTTTAATTTATAGAAATATTAATTTAGAAAAATTTCCTTATTTAATTTTTTATTTTAAGATATATTTATTCTAAGATAAAGAAAAAGATTTGATTTTAATATATAGACATTAATTACTTTTAAAATTTGACATTTATATTAATTTGTTATATTATTTGGTGTATGTAATATATATATATACATAGAATTTAAATGTGGTTTTAGATATAATATTAATAAATCTCATCAATAATATATTAAGTGTTAAAAAAAATATAAACATAATTCCATTGTGAATAGAGAACAAACAATATAATAATAGACTTACTTATATAAATATATATACATAAAAATTATTAATTTATAATTTTAGTGGGATTATATAGTTATATAGAATTTTCTAAAAAGATATCATCTTATTATTTTATCAATTTGTATCAAATTTTCAACTGGTCCAAATTAGAATCGATAAATTTTTTAATTTAGATAGATTATTAATTCATCAAATATTAATTTATAGAAGTTGAACTGCACACAAAGGAATTGACTTAAAAGCATATTTTATTAATCTCATTGTGTGTACCCTAATTCTATGCAATTGGCTTGAAAGGATCGGGTGTTTCAGATTTGTCCAGACATAAAACTATCGGGCTGAAATTAAAATAAAAGAGAAGATAAAGGACTTTATTCGCAATTATAATTTAATTGGGGTTTTCGATAAATAATCGGAGAAAAGATCCTTTACATCGGAGAAACGTAAAACCCTAGAATTGATCTCCGACGAACTTGCTCCACAGATTGCTCTTCTCATCCGATTACGATGAACGGAGGTCCTTTTGGTTTCAGTACTCTCTCTCTCTCTCTCGCTTGATCAGCTTCTCTGAACTTTTTTCGATTAATCCTCGAAATGTTCGAAATTTTGCAGATAAGGCTCCGGTCACGAGAGCCTTCTTCATCGCGAGCGTCCTCTTCACTGTCTTCTTCGGGATCAGGAGAGGAGGAGGCTCTTCTTCCAAGCTCGGTTTGTCTTACCAGGTCCTCATCTCTCTCATTCCATCTCTTAATCGGATTCTAAAGCTTTTGGTATCGATTTTTCATGCTTAGGTTTCCCACTTTATTTAGAGGAAGGAGATGATGTTTTGGTTTAGTGTGCGGACATTAAGATATTTACATTCATTTAAAAAGTATTCTTAAAAGATATAATTTTAAAATTATTCAACTAATTATAAAAAAAAAAGACTGTAAAATTTTAACCTTAAAACCTCAAACATATCTTAAAATCTCAAAATATAAACAACATAAATCTTCTAAAACATCATATAAAAAGAAAAGGATGGAGTATGTATTGAGTATTTGGCATTATATTAGTCACCAGTCATCACTCTATAGTAATAAAAAGTTTGATTTTGACTAGATTTTTTAGGTTCCACATGGTTACTTAACTTGCCTCTGATCTTTGGTTGTTTTAAACCTTCTTGTTATTGTTAAACTCTGTTGCTTTTGTGGAGGGTTTGTTATTGATCAAGTAATTTACAGCGGATTTGTACTTTTTTTTAATTAACTTGTGTTATATCCCCATTGCAGGATATCTTTGAGAAGTTTGGGATATGGAAGTTAATCATTTGGAACTTTTCCTTCTCGTCAACCTTGGAATTGTTTTTCGGCTTGTATTTGCTCTACTACTTCCGAGTCTTTGAGAGACTGTTTGGTTCTAACAAGCGCTCGGTAAGGAATAGTTTAGCTCAATTTCTATCTTCAAGAAAGATTTCATATTATTATGCTTACCAGAGTGGAGAGACTAATTAGTACTCGTTTATGCAGGTTTTCATCTTGTTCTCTGGGATTGTATCACTAATACTAGAGACCATTTTGTTATCACTCTTTAAAGGTATGCATGCATCTTCCAGTTTTCAGATAGTCTCTTCAAAAATCTACTCTGTTTTGGTCAGCATATATATTTTTCGTTTAAAAATCTGTTGTATGTTTCTGTAGATCCTACAAACCTAGTGGCATCTGGACCATACGCCTTCATATTTGCTTCCTTTGTATCCTTCTACTTGGACATACCGATTTTAAAGAGGTTTCATCTGTTTGGTGTACACTTCTCTGATAAGTCATCCATATATCTTGCTGGTGTCCTGGTAAACACAATACCCATATGTTTTTATTTAGTAGAACCCTCTTCAGATAAGACAAGTTACTCGGTTTCCAATTTTTTTGTTTGTAGCTTTTACTATCATCTTGGCAAAGATCCATCATACCTGCAATCTGCGGCATAATTGCTGGTTCCTTGTATCGGTTGAACATCTTTGGTATCCGCAAGGCAAAGGTTATATATATATACCCTTTCTAAAACTCTTTATTTATCACCTCAAGTTGTGGGGGTTTTGTCGTTTTACTAACACTAGTTTTTTTCTGTCTAAAACATATCACAGTTCCCTGAGCTCATCGCTTCCTTCTTTTCCCGACTTTCTTCGCCTTCCTTGAACAGCCACTCTCAAGCACCATCACCCAACTTAGGTCCCCAAGCAGTGGCAAGTCTTCTACCTTTTTCCTTTTCTCTGCAACATCTGCCAAACTCTTAAAATCTCAAAATCATATCGTCATTTCCATGTTTGAATTTTCTTACAGAGATCTCCAGTGCCGTCTTCAAGCATAGAGCCATCTATGGCAGCCATAGGGGCTATGGTATTAATGGGATTTGACCAGAACGAAGCTAGACAGGTCCTCGTAGACATCAGAAATGATGTCAACGCAGCCAAATACTCGAAGCACATTAGGATGTTGATAGATTAAGGATAAGATCTAACTCTCGTAACTCTCTAAATCTCTAGTTGTATTATGAATACTTGATTACAGTAAGTTTACGATCTCTTCTATGACTCATATCGCCAACAGAATACAAACTAAATCAAAGCATAAAAGAAAATGCAGCAACCTCCAAAAGTATTTATAACAGTAATCAAGAATACTCTCTAGAGTAAAGACTCAGAATGCTCTAGAGTCTTTACTTCACTCTTCATATCCAATGGATACCCCACGTCAGCTTCCACCTCACCATCTCTTACTAGCTTGCATGTATGATCATATCACATGGCATCTTCACTTCATGCGAGCCAACCAGCCATGGATGACCTGAGAACACAAAAATAATATATTTTCAACATGTAAACATGTTCATATTAACATAATTAATGTGGTGCTATACTTACACAAACCCTGTGCTGCAGTTAATCTCTTACGGTAGTCTTTATTCAGCAATCTTTTCACAAAGTCTACAGCATCAGGTGATAGTGAAGGCCAAGGAGCTTCATCAAAACTGGGTTCTGTCTTAAGAACAGCTCGAAAGATGTCGTATTCAGTAAGGCCCCAAAAGGGTCTACTGCCAGAAAGAAGAACGTAAGCAAGCACTCCAACCATCCACATGTCAGATTCTGTCCCGTATGAACGGTGCAAAACTTCAGGAGCTACGTGGAACGAACTTCCTACAATATCATTCAACCTCTCGTCTGCGCAGTTTTAAAACATTCCAGTTTTAACATTTGAAGATGGGTTTGATAAGGTCATTATTATTCGGACATCTCTGACCTGGCTTGACATAAGCAGCGAAACCAAAACCAACTGCTTTTAGAGGAGAAGTCTCGTCCTTAGTACTGAACAGGAAGTGCTGTGAGAGGGAAACAAACAAAAGCATCAGTGTACACATACTACTGTCAGGCTGGTCCTGAGATTTAGGGGGTCATCATAAACGATTTATAAGAGATTTGAACTAAATTTTTTCTTTTATAAATTTGAGGGCCTAAAATAATTTTTTAGGGCCTTTGTCTATATAATTCTTTTTCATAACTTATAAGGACTAAGACGAATGTTTTGTTAGCCTTGGCTTAATGTAATGGGACCTTTGATGATATAAAAGTACCTCTGGTTTGAGGTCACGGTGAACCACACCTTGTAGATGACAATAAGCTACTATACTAAGAATCTGAACCATTACTTGTTTAGCATCATCTTCTGCGTATTTGCAACCCCTAATTAATGTGATCAAGCTCAACAAAAAGTCAATTACGTCAAAACACAACTCAGTAAAGACAAGGAACATTCAAGATAAAAACATGTGATGTAGCAGCAAATTACCTTTCAAATATTTTGTCCAAGAGACTACCACCTTTACATAACCTGATAAAAAAATATTGAAGTATATTCATGGCAAATCATGAAAATGAGAAATGATGATGTATATATGTTAATATACGCTTACTCCATGACAATATAAACGTTTTGATCATCTTCAAAAGCGTCATAAAACTGGACTAAGTTCTTGTGACCATTCAAAGCCCGCATAATCTTCACTTCTCTACTAACATCTTCGACCATAAGTGCATTCATCAACTGAATTCAACAGCATATAAACACTAAGCAATGAATCAAAACGAGTCAACGAGTGGTTTAAGGAGATAAAAGAAGCAAAACCTTGGTTTTATGAATGACTTTAACAGCAACTTCTTGACCCATCATCAAGCTGTCTTTTTTACCCTTTGCAGAGCATGTGTACCCCAAGTGTCCACGACCCACCACGCCATGATCTATCTCGTACTGTGTAGCGAAATGTCTCGAAAAACCAAAGCTCTTGTTCAGACCCCTCTCGAGCTTCTTGTCTTCAGGAATAGAGGCCTCGTTGCGCTTGGTTTTGCCATGACAGATCCCCATGAGTTGAAGAATTTAGGATTAAAAGGTTTTGATTCAAACCACAAAACAAGCTTCGATAGAACAGTTAGTTCTCAAAAAGGGCATGATCATGTGGTGTAGTTTAACAATATTTTGACAATTATCATATGCTAATAGATGTAGAATTGAGAGGAAAGAGATTAGAAGAAGATAGACCACACGCAAAGATTAGGAAGAAGAGAAGCAAGTTTCGTACCAATCACAAGGAGAAAGAAAAGGTAAGTACAGACCCTACACGAAGCAAAAGCAAAGTGTTAAAGAAAGAAAAAAAAAGCAAGAGAAGAGCCAAGTCAATAATTCAGTAGACATGTGTGTACATTATTAATGTATTTGTTGTACGAGATTTCTCTACAAAAGATTTTCAATTGCACAAGGAAGAATAATTCATTGGTTTTGCAGTCCTCGTCCACTCCATGTTCACTTCTTTTTTTCAAGTGTATTTTTTTTTCATTATGTATATTTTTCGCATATTTTCAAATCAAAGTACATGTGTTTGTTCACTCGGTTTCTGTTGCATCTACAAAGTTCAGTAAGTTTCGGTTTAGTTTTGGTCAAGTCTACTTCAAAACTCTCTCGTGAATTATTTGGAGGTTTTCTAAGAGTTGGTGGTGGCGTATGACGTACGGCATAGGGTTAGTTAGAGTAAGAGACGTGGCCTTGTTTGAAGTGTTAATAGTGTTGTCATGTCGGAGTCACTTGTCACTATGGACTGCTCTACTCAATTCTAGTTTGGGCCTTTACCTAAGAACCTAAGGAGGTTCCAAGACTCTTTAGATGGGCTCGAATCCTCTAATTCTTTTCTCTCTTTGTCTTTACTGTATCAATACATATTAGTTTGATAATTTCAGTCAGTTTTTTAAATCCATTACAATAAGTTTGTAAAAAAATTAAGACCTATCAATACCAAAAAAAACTAAGAAATGTGTTGTTGACTAGTGAATGTCTCAAGAGTTGAGTTTTATAAGTAGGAAAGCCTCGGACTAAACCCTAAACTATGTTAAAAAAAACTGTTGCATATATTCCAGATTAAACTTTCAGTTATCCAAAGTTTTGGAGAAACATAAAAACATATTGTACTCGTATAGCCAGGCAGAGATGTACGCTTTTGATATGCGGGTATGATATAAATATATCGTTAACCACTAGTGTGATCTTTCATAGACGTTATTTAACAAATTCTTTGTTTTCCTTTTAAAATTTCTACCGATTTAATTGCATTTTGATCATTGAATTGTTAGATAAGTTCATATAGTCTATATGATGGGGACTATTAAATTTAAAATTAACTTAACTGTACAAGAAGAAAAGCTTTAGATCAATCTTTGCCCAAAAAAAAAAAAAAAAAAAAAAAAGCTTTAGATCAATCATAAAAAGGTGTTAAACATGA